AATGAGTGTGCTTTTACACTTTCTGTAACACTGTTGTTGCATTTAACAAAAAAAATATCTTAAGAAAATGCATATAGGCCTAATTATCTCAAAAGTCAAGAAACATGTTTGAAAGATTAAGGAAAACTAAAAGTATGTTGAATTTTGTATCAGGTGCATATTAAAGTCATTAAGACAAGGTGCTTGAAGAGGAAGAAAATGTCCTGGTATTCATAGAAAATGACCTTGCATATTCCATCGTATACAAGTTCGTAAGTTGTATTAAAGATATGCCCTCCAATCCAATATTTGGGTTAGCCATCTCGATAGGTGAGGTCTTGTACCATACTTTTTATTATTTGTTGGCTGAAAAGCTGGGAGCTTCAACTTTTTTTTTCAATAATCATAGACAAAACTAAAAAAAGCACAACTAAATAGTTGGCTATCTGTGCAGTTTACTACAATTTCAGATTGAAGTTTATGTTGTAGATGTAACTGACTGTCTAGATGGGCCACCAAAAGCTTTATTTTGTAACATAATATTAGCACTTGAAACTGAATATGCCTCTGAGAAAGTGAGTTGAATTTTGCAGTGATACCATATGCTATGAAATGGGTTAATCATTCAGATCCATATATGATCAAATAAATCTTTCTTGTCAAATGTAGTTTCCATACGTCTAGTTGGCATTTTTTTATCAACTTGTAATTCCATGGAGAGTATGTTGTTTCATTTGCCTTTACGAATAAACATGTTTTCATAGAATTTTCGCATATAGGATTACCTTTGGAATTAGTGCTAAAGATTAGTGCATCTACTATTTTTAACTAGCTTTTTTTGTGTGTATGCTACTTTGTAATACTGTAAAATATTATTTTGTTTTATATATTTTTATAAATAAAGAAGTGTGTATTGAAACTTTGTTTCTTTTAAAGCAAAGTAAAACTAGGATTTTTGTATATATTATCCCACTTGAAACTAGGGTAAAAATTGTAGTAGTTACGAACTAACTAGCTATTTTGTGTATGCTTTGTATAATTTTCATGCGTTTTTTTATTCACCTCTTTCATAATTGACGATCAAAAATAATCAAATGAGTTTTATTTGTTGTAAGACAATGAATGCTTGAAATTAATATATAAAAGTGTTTTGGATTAATTATAATAGCTCCAGGACTACTAGTTGATGTTTCAGGATTTTTATTCATAGGCCCAGGCTTTCAAAATATCGCGAGTGGAAACGGTGTGAAATCGTATTCTAAGTGTTAAGAAAAAAATGCTCATTAAGTTACACACTTAACATCTAACGTTAAAAACTCTATTCAAAAACAATACAAAGGTTTAAGTAAAATACCAATAAAGCCCAGACTACAACAGTATTCTAAGTGTGTTAAATGTTTCAGAAGATTATTTTTTAAATACACACACATATATATATATGTATGTATATAAAATAAAATATAAGTTTTATTCACAAACGAAAAAAATCTGTTTTGTAACAGATACGTTCACCGACTTAAAACTAATATTTTAAACTTTGTTAACATGTTGAATCTTGTAGCTAATATCTTTCTCATATCAGCTACAACAGTTAATAAACTCTCTCATTTATATTTCTACTGTTATTTGTCAAGCTGATATTTTTCGCCAATCTTCCTTATCTTATAAATTCATTTTTTCAAGTCCACAATTTTTAAGATAAAAATTACCAATCAGAGGTTGAATATCTGTTTTAAATAAAGTATCTTTTGTAACTAATTTCGTGTAAAATTATTATTATAATTGGTAAGTAGCTCATGTTTTCTCTTCGAAAAGCTTATGGATTTAATTTCTGAACTTCCTCAAAATTCAAAGATTATGTTTTCGATTAGCTATATTAATATATGTATTACTCAATTGATAAAAGTTCACTTTTGTATTCTAAGAAATTTTAAAGCTTTCGCAAACACTGTTCTTATACGTCACTAGACTACTGTTCTAGAGCCTGCTGTGCAATTTTCACCTTTGAACCTTTAAACCAACTAACATTTCAAAGATATTATCAATAAATACCATTGAATTCCCTATATTAGATGAATAACATTTTTTCAAAAAACAAATATAATGTGTTCTAATTCTTTAGCTTGTAATATAAATCATTTCAATTCCCTGGCATTCCATTGATCGTGTAACTCAAAAATGACAATTTTGTCAAGGCAATCGTTTTGTGAGTGGCATTTATAGAAACATTTTTATTACTATATGCTGCTTGACTTCTTTCATTAAAAACAATCAAATGAAATGAAAAAAATTACAATTCAGACAACATATGAGAGAAATAGCGAATATAGTTCTGGCTCCCGGACCTCTTAATAGCAAAACAACAGCCGTTTAAAAAGAATTGTAGACCTGGTATCCAATAAGGCTAAGTTAATCTGAAAGTTGTACATACTCTAAATAAATAGCTGTTAAAGTCTAGTAAAAAACGTATAAAACACTTTTATTACCAATCTCCTATATTTCTCTTTATGTGTAGTATGAATAACATTAATTAATGTAATTTTAGGAATATCTATTTTCACACTTACTTTTCATGTTAGTTAATCTTTTAAGTCTTCTGTTTTGGCTTATTAATTTTGAAAACCAGAAAATGTGAATTAAAAAATCTAATGTTCTTACTTTAGGATACAATGATAAAAAGATCTGAAAAAAAACACATAAAGGATAAGCCTATGTGAACAATTTTTGAAGTTCAATCGCTATATATGAGGTTTTAGAAATATATTATTAATAAAATGAAAACACGAACACTAATAAACATTGCATACAATAATAAACAGTGTTATCAGTTTAATATATATTACATTTCAAGATATTTCCTTATAAGTGGTAGTACCTCTCAACAAGGTACATCGATGTTTTGCTTAAAACAAAGGCTTAGGGGTGGTTGTTTGGTGTAATAGAAATCAATACTCCTTGTATAGTGACCTACGTGAACTATACTATTATACTGCCATCTATTAAGCACTCTTGGCATTGCATACAAATACTACGGTATCGGTAGGAGAATAAACAGTTTGAAACATTTGATTATATAATTCAGTATGCATTTTTATTTGTTTTGAAGTTGTTGTTTTGTTCTTTGTGGAAAATATCAGAGTCACGAAACTGATAATTTGTCTCAAATAGCTAATTGTTCTCTGTCTTTCCCTACTGTGAAAGAAGAAAGACGCCAGCTACTTAACCTTTTCCCCACTGTGAAAGAAGAAAGACGCCAACTAGTTAACCTTTTCCCCACTATGAAAGAAGAAAGACACCAGCTACTTAACTTTTTCCCCACTATGAAAGAAGAAAGACGCCAGCTACTTAACCTTTTCCCCACTATGAAAGAAGAAAGACGCCAGCTACTTAACCTTTTTCCCCACTATGAAAGAAGAAAGACGCCAGCTACTTAACCTTTTCCCCACTATGAAAGAAGGCAGGACTAATAATGCTACAGACCTTAGTCAAATTATAGTTTGTCATTAGTATCTTCTGTATAACTGTTATAATAATGTTCACTTATTTTTTTCTTCTGTACTAACAGTCTTATACCGTTAGTATAAACTAAATTAAAGCAATGAAGCTTTCTAAATGGAATAGTCTCAAATATGTTTGAAAAAAATTGTATCACGTGTAACAATTAATTCCGTTTTTAGTTACGCTAATGAAACTTAAAAATCTGAAAGTTAAAATTTCTACATTAAATTTACTAAATAATGATGTATTTTTTATTCTCAGATTAACATTACATATTTTTCTCTATCCACACACATATGTAACTGTAACATTTTTGTATTTATTCAGAAGCACCTCTTGAAATATATATTCATAACTTTCCTGTACTTCTACTGAAGAATAATATGAGTGAATAACATGAAACCGAAGAAATAAAGCATTAAGCTTTAGTACAATATTCTGAGGTGCCACATAATGATCAAGGGGTAACTTTAACAACCGTGCACACATACTTTACATTTCTACAATAGTGACACAGAAATCGATTTGATACATTAACCTCATAAATATTACATATATTATATATAAGATTCACAGAAAGTTTTCTATTAGTTTTATTATAACATTTACTGACCTATTAAAAAATAAACACACAGCAGTAGTGCAAGAAACACTCGTGCTAACGTATTAGGCCTAGCTGCAAAAGTGCTTAGTTAGAATTCATCGCCATAAACTTCTGCTGGAATCGCCATGGTGCACATGTTATTTCAACAGAATAGTTAACACGAAACCAATAATTCTGTCTTAATGTAAGTTATTCGTACACAATAAACCAATAGTATTTTGAAGCTTAAGTATATGAAAACATTTTATAGCTTATTGTTGGCCGAAATGTATTACTAGTAACTTTAATAACACGAAATGAATATATAAAATCTTGTCTTCTTTTACTGAACTTACAAAGAGTAAAATGCAAAACAGTGCAAGCAATGAACATTTTTTAGCGTACTTTGTAACTAAAGACGCCTGGCAACAATGTTTGAGTAGTTAGAAAATAGCGTCAAACTAGAATCTGCAAAAATATGCATACGATAAGCCAATCACTGTTTTTGGTTGTTTTATTTTTTATAAATGATGAGCACAGTATTTTAAAGATTCGTGGGGATTGATACTAATACATGACCAAAAGTATCATTTTCGCAGAGACTTATGCATTTGTTAAATCTATTATTTCATTAATTCAAAGGAATATTTTTGCTAACGTGGTATCTTTCTATCTTAAAGATAAAATACAAATGAAGCACATTTACCAAAGTTAAAAAATAAAGCAAGTATATTTTACTATAATTTGTTCTTAGTGTCTGCACAATGAGTTATATACTAGAGATGTAAATGTCGTAACATAATAAGTGAGGAACTGCCCTTTTTACCATTATTATCAGTGTAACTTACTAATATACTGAACTATAAAATTTTAAATTACTATAGCAACATTTGCTTAGTCAGCTCGAAGTGAAGTTTAATTGAGTAATTTTTTATAACACATAAATATTATTATATAACTAGATTTTTATACGCATGTTTATATGTATCAATTTAGTTCCTAATATATGAGCATACGACTGGATAAAAGATACATAAAAAACATGTCGATAGGAAACAGCTGCATTACCATAACTACAAAATAAAACTATCATAAGCGCCGTCATTTTAAACAGCTTTTCATTATAGTTGTTGTATTTTAACAAAAGACACACAAAATAGAACAAGAAAATAATGAGTAGAGTGAAAATTAAAGAAATTACACTTTGAAAAGTTTAATATATTTTGCTTTATACAATGGATGATGCATTTAACTACAGTTATTGGAGATAAAACCAATAAAACTGAATAAGAAAATATAGCCAAAAATAACAAACACTCGACAATAATTGCGCTTAGTTCTTGATAATATTACTTTCAGTCAAATTTTGATTTTGATTTAAAGATCTAGAAACTGTAAAATGTTTTGAAAATGAACATCTATATTTATAATCATATACAATATATATCGTTTCTAGAAACTGTAAAATGTATTGAAAATGAACAGCTATATTTATAATCATATACAATATATATCGTTTCGCTATCTTTAAAGTTGGGGTCTCACTAATCATTAAGTAAAATATGATGACAGTCAAATATGTAAGTATACAATCCAGCTTTTCCAGAGTTTCTATGATGCCTAATAGTATAAATAGACGTAAATATACTAAATAGCTACTATTATAAAATAATACTTTGAGACATTTTACAACTACGCATAATAAGTTAAGAACTGCTTTTGAACAAAGCAACTTAAATAAATCGAAACAACTTTTATTAAAATGTTCTCATGTATTTTAGACAAAAAAACGTGTAAATTTTTAACAAATTGTGAGCATTAAGTATTTTAAGCAACTGTGACACAGTTATCTTATAATATGATTTTAAATTTGTTTTAAAGCAATCGTTGTTGGCAAATTTTTCTTTTTCTGCATTTCTGTTGGATCGTATAAATACTTAATATTCCTACCAGGATGATCTGCCCAAACTCTCCCTTTGCCTAAAACCCAGTAGAGTGAATTATTCTTTAGTCTCTGAGCACCTCAACAACAAGCACGGCAAGATAAATTTTAAAAGTTTATTTCTTTATTGAAAACTAGTGTTCGGTGACAATTTGGAAATGGTCAACTTATAGTCCATAAATGAACAAAAGAAAAATCTATATGGTGAATTCTTGTTAAACAATTTCTTATATTAATATCTTGATTCAAATCCACGTGATCTGAACTGTCAAGATATCGACAGAACAACATTATCTACTTATCTTTAATTAAATGCATGTGGACATATCCTAGGCGTATATAATTTAGATACGAAAATTACACTTATTTATTCTTTTCTTCTGTTAAACAACCAATACGAGATGATGCTGTTTGGGCAATTCAAGTTGAAATTTCTTGTTAAGAACAACCTGGATGGCAAGCTCATAATTACACCTAAGACGATTCATTAGCTGTAAATTAACAACAAAAATCTGGCTAAAATCTGAGAGCTGCGTTGTCAGATATTTATTAATTATGATAGAAATGTTGTTTGTAAAATATTTCTATACAAACAATGATGAAATTTAAGTGTTTTAATAAAACAAACATATTATATCTACGTATAGTTACGATACTACAGAGCTGCCTCCTTCGGATGACTTAAATTTCAATAACATTTATTTTGACGTACGTACATATAAATTTAACAATAGTTCTTTTTTCACTTTTATGGCAAACTATATAGTTATTTACAAAGCAATTATGATACCTTACCGGACGATACACAAGGTTTCTGGGTACTTGCAGAATAAAAATGCTAATTATTGTTAATTTTGAATAAAAAAAAATTGCTATTTAATGATTCACTAGACATTTCAAGAATAAACAGTCTTGGTTATGTGTTTAACATTTCAAAGAACATAATGTTTATACTATAATCAAATTTGTTTAGATATATGCACTACAACTTATTTGGTTTTAATTTTGAGTAAAATAAAAATACTTAGTATACAGTATTACTTATGAGCAAATTTAAGTTACCAGAAAGAGAAGGACGAACGCTAAACGTTTAAAATTAACTCGGTTTATATTTTTAACACGAATTTTGAAAACTCTTCATCTAATTTGGACGACACTTCAAACTCGTTACTTCACAAATGGCTATCATTTTATGCAAAATTAAATTCACGTTTTCTGGTAAAAGTTAAAACAAGCAAACAAATACAATATTTATATTCCTTGACACTGCTCATTGTGTCTACCAGTCGTAACTCTGTTCATCCCAGTTGAATGGTTGAGGGGTATACAGAGAAGTTCGTGGAACAGGCCCCATAACCGCATCATTTTTATCAGTCATACCAACTTCATTTCTGTTCAGTACTTCGTTGTAAGCCTAGTTTAGAATAGTGAAATGGTAATACATTAAAATGTTAACCTGTGACAGTTATTAAACAAACAGTCTTAGTAATCATATATTTTATTCAGCTCTTATTTGTTCAATATTTTTAATACGATTGTTTTGTGGTTTTAAGTTATCTTTTTTCACCTAAGCCTTCATGAGATATGAGGATTCTCTGTCCAGTCCATTTCTAGAGTATTTTACGGTTGTGGATATATATATATACCAATATGAACTCTCACTTTTACCAATTACACAATATTTCACAAAAATTTAGTTAACTTTAACAGATGTATTTTGTAGCATGATGAAACAGCTTACACGAAAGAGATTTTTTTACTGTGTTGCAATTAGGAATATGTGAACATTTTCTGTTATACTTCGGAATCGATCCACAGTTACGACATATAAACATCCATAAAACTTCAAAATACATTAAAGATAACTACAAACTGTTTCTAGCTCTGTCCAAAAGATATCACTTTACATTAAACAACGGTAGAATGAGAGTGCTTTTCAACATTGTAAAATATATAAAGCTTTATTCTGATTTCAAAAGATCAAATATGGTACCTTGCAAAAGTATTCACCCCCTATCAATAATGTCATATGTTGATGAAATATAAATAATGTAAACATTTTTTAATGGACTTGTTTTTATTCAAAACTCGAAAGATCAAACTTAACACTGTTATGTGTGAAGGAGGTTGAATGTCAGCAAAATCTGCAAAGAAAATATATAAATTGAAATTTGCTGATTCAGCCCCCTAATTCAGTACTTGGTGGAAGCACCTTTGGTAGCAGTTACTGCTGAGTATTTTTGGATAGGTCTCTACCAGCTTTGCAGAATGAGATGGTGTGATTTTTGCCCATTTTTTCCTTGCAAAATTGGTCCAATTCTGACAAGTTTGTTGGGAATCATTTATGAGCTGCAATCTACAAGTCTCGCCACCAATTTTCTAGAAATTTTCTTTTGAAAGCGCTCGAGTTTTGGGTCTCGTTTGAAAAACCAGGTAAAATCTTTATTGTACGTTACAGCCTACTAGTTTCGGTAACACAGTTATTATCAGCAGGGCTAGTGTTACCAAAACTAGTCAGCTGTGATCTATATTAAAGATTTTACCTTTCATTGTGCCAAAAACTTATCTTTTTGTTTTTAACTCTAAATATAGTAGCACAATGTGCCTGAAAAGAAATTACACATGAATACTTCAGGAAAACCCCAAATTGTTCTTTCCTCGCTGAAAAATTGAGCAAATAACAAAAATTCCAAATTGTCTATATCTCTATTTGGGACCAGAAATCCCATGTAAATTGGCCCAAATACGGCGAAGTAATTGTCACAAAACTCTAAAGTTATGCTTCTTGTGGCATCTTGACCCCTTCCCCCATCATAATTACTAAAATAGGCAAATTCAACTATTTTGTTTGTCAATGTGCGTTGCTTGTAGAAAATTGCCAAAAAATCAACGTAATTACGTTTTTTTGTGAGCTTTGATCCCCTAAAAAGACATAAAATGGGCAAGATCAACTTTTTTGTATGTCAATGTGTTGGGCGCATGAAAATTTATATTTGTACCAATTTTCATCTTCATTACTATATATATGACCGCACAGAAGCCGAAAATATACATTTGAGTTGCTTTACCTTTAACCCCATAAAATCCTTAAAAAAGCCTAAACAAAACAAATGAAAAAAATTTGTCTGGATATATTGGACCCAGATATAACCCTACCAAATTTCAAATCACTCCGCCGAAAAATGAAGGATTGGCGGTCGATTGAAAAGTGTTCGGAAGAAGAAAGAAATAAAGAAGAATAAACAACAGAAAAACAGTATGTTCTCTGCGGAGAGTACAATTAAGATCATAAATTTTGTTCTTGATTTCAGACCTTGTTAGTAAAATTATCGCCCGATTGAGGCCCATGAAACTTTGTAAAATCTATTAACAAATATCACAAAAAATATCTTTAGAAATAGTATTTATAAAATTTGATACCTGAAAATCTCTTTTGATGTAGTTATAGTCGAAACTGCTATCTGGACTTAGTGATGCCGCCAAAATACCTTTAGGGTTAAATGCTGCCGCTAGGGCACTTCTACCAAACGCAGGTTTATTGAAGGCTGTGTTGTTCATGTTGATATCGGAATAGTTGGTGGTACCACCTCCACCATAATATCCTCCTAAAAAAAATAATAACGCTCTGCGCTACAGCATAATTCTAAAGATTAATTGTACTAATCTGATAAGCTCTTTACAGAAGAAATTTTAAATTTGAATACTACATTTTTAGTTGCTAAAACATCCTCTACTAAAGTACTGTTCTAACAGTATTATTAAACAGTAATTCATGAATCTACATATAAAGCACTGATATTGACTAGTATCAATAGATAACCATAATAATGTACAACGTTTACGGTTATCTTTGCTTACTGTTTTCCATCATATATTGTCTCCTTTGAGGTAATAAATTTTCATCTAACTCAGTTTTACTTAAGATACTGATTTTTCAAATTAAAGTTTTAGAATTTGTTTCCTTGAATAAATATAGTCACTTTACAAACGTCTTCCATTTTGTTTTCTCGGGTAAAAGAAAATAGCTTGCCCAGTTAATCGGACGCATACGAAGTAACAAATTAAGCATTTTTAACCATACAAAACTATGCACATATTTTTTAACTCCGAAATACTATATGAGTACTGTTAACAATATAATTACCTCCTGATTCAGGAAGGCCAAGAAATCCTCCAGTTTCATAAGTTCCTGAGCTACTTGTTCCATATCGCCCCGTTCCGTTCCCTATTCCTCCTTTCTGTTGACCTATGAAATCTAATTCAGTTATGTTTTGTTTAGATAAAGACCGTGCCATTGGATTGGAAGGGACGCCGTGAGGTGCTAAATGGCTCGTTTCTTCAACAACCATATCAGGTTCCTGTTCGTCCTGGAAGTTTGAAAAGCCTTTGTCCTTTCGGTAGTAGTTTACAACAACAAAAATGATCAGGACAGCTAAACAGGCAAATCCGTAGCCTCGAAAGGTAACTTGGGTTCCTTAAGAAAAAATAAAACCAAACGTTTCATTGTAATTACAATAATTTGATGTTCTCTTCCAAGCTATCAACATGTATACAGTGTGGAGTCTGACTTACAAAGATATTGTATATATAAAACTCTCACATTTTACTTCATTCCCTCATTAAAAAACTAATGAAGTAAAAGTTAAGACGTTTAAGGAACAACGGGACGCTTCGTTTTATAAATGTTTGAAATTCCGGTGCTATCTGATACATATTATTTTGTATACCTGCAACGTTTTAAGGTAAACTTTTAAATCAAATTTGAATACTTCAGCTTCAAAACCTTTACTGATAATTAAAATGCTTTGGAACATCAGTATTACTGATAGCAAATATCTTAAAACACATATGATGTTTCAGTGCACAATATGGGAAAATATTCTCATGATTGAAAACATTTATAATTTGGTTTGATACAGATACTACTTTCGGAAAGTTTCTCAATAGGATGAAAGAACCAAAGGAATGTCTAATATATTTTATACTTTAAGTCCAGTATCGTTTTTACTAAGGTTAGTGAATAGTTTCACAAAATTTATCGTTGTTGTAGTTAAGGATTCTGATAATTTTCAGGAGTTTCAAAGTTATTAGTTTTTAACATTCTCACGCCAACGTTTTGTACGGTGAAACTTACTTTATAAATAAAAAAGCGCCACTGTGATATACAAAACAGACACCTCTTGAAAAATAGTCGCTAATAAATTCAAAACTTCACGCATTCTCTCTCTGGTGATTAGTATACTTGTATTTTTGTTTTTTACTGTAGAATAGAATTAGAAAGATAGTGAACTTTCTAATACTGCAGCATTATCAGTTTCCTGGGAATATCAGATTAAAATAAGTGTTTTGTAATGTTCTCCAACCGTTATGTAATATTAATCTTTAAAACTGTATTTTTCGGAGCTTTCTAATCGAAACCGTTCCAGACCTTTATAATAGACCAAGACAGCCGCTATTATTCGTCCGCATATACGCATATGTTCTATAGGGATGATACAACTCGATAACACACGATTTGACACACTGAAATAAAGCGAGTTTAATTTTTGAATTTAGTTCCGGTTCGAACTTTCGCCTAACACTTTGTGTAATCGATAAAATATAGGAAAAGATGTACACTGAGCTGTCTTCATGTGCTCGACGAAACAAATGTTCAAGCTGTGGAAACGAAATTTAAAGGGAATTACAATAACTCAACATTCACTTTAATACTCGAAGTTGTGAGGACGAAGTGTATCATGAGCCCAGCAAAAAATATTGAATAAAAAAGTTTTCTTAAACTTCAAATGCAGTTTTGAATATCAATACAAATAGTCGAGTTTGTGAAGTTATAAAATAACATTAACATCAAGTGAAGCCATGCGAAAGTTGTTATTTTTTTCTTTTACATTTTTATGTCACTGATCGTTTAAGCATAACTTATTTTTAGAATGGCATTATTATAGTCAAGACATATAATATTTCAGTCCTTGTAAGTGAGGACCTTTTTATTAAACAATTCCGATTTCAAGTGTATCGACACTGGAGGCACCTTTCATAAAGAAATTCTAATCTGAAATTAGCAAAACACACAAACAAAATATTTTGGTAAACTAAACAACGCTTCAGGTGATCCATCTTTTAACGAGTGATAAGTCCGTAAGGAAAATGTGCAGTTGATGTAAACATGAGTTCCTATAGCTACAGAAGCTCATTCTGAAAGACTTTCACACATTTCCATATAAATGAGAAACATGACAAGTTAAATATACGCTTGTCAGTAGCAGTACAACGCTTTAGGGCTGTTACTCTTTACTAAGTTTGCAATGTTAGTGTAAGCTGGATTGTTTTTGTTTGTCTTAATTGCAACTTATTATAAACTATAAAATAAAAACACAGTAAGTCATAAAAATGTGTGATTAGTTTAAAACAGATTAATTACTTCTCTAATACTTTTTAAGAATGTTGAATTTTAACCTAACACTCTAATTCAACCTGTCTCTTGATCATTTAAGCTATAATACATATTTGCTTTAAAATCACAAAAACATACTAGGCAGAAAATATCAGTACTATGGAAAAGGTACGAAAGCTGTAAATTCATGAGAACTTTTATATGGATTAGAAAACAGTGCTTATATGATTCGCAGTAACTTTATTTTCAGAATAAATATCACGATAACAAACGGCTCAATGGCTCAAACTCCTTCCTTATCCAGTAAACAAGGGATCACACAATGAAGAAATGACTCTGTCTTCAAGTGGATCCGAGTCTACTTAGCTGTTTGCTCAATAGTTGTACCTGTTTTTTAATTATCCCCAGCGTTATCTACTTAGAAGCGATTAACAAAACACAAGTATTTTCTGTATTATAACTTTATTTTGTCGCAAAAAAAAAAACATATACAAGTGTATATAACTTTATACAATAGCTTTTCAGATGGTGTAAAAATATTTATACACAAATTTAATCTGAAATTAACTTGATACGACTTGCTCGCAACAAAAATTATTAAAGTTATGTCATTCATTCTATGTGGATTGACTGACTAATAAAAGCAATAAACCTTAATGATTTGTTTAAAAAAACTACCAGTTAAGTTACTACAGTACAACTACCCTTTTTGAAAAAAATTGCTATATCCAACAGAATGTTAGTGTGTAGCCTAATAGTTGGCGTTTCTAGCCTTTGAATCTGAGTGTTTATGTTTCGTGTGCCGTTGCCGAAAAATTCGCTTCGCACTTTGGAGTCGTAGATGTGTTATAGTAGTGACGGTCAAATCCCACTTCGGTTAGCCGCAGAGTTGCCGGTGGGTGCTGTTGGCTAACTGTTTTCTTTCTACAGTTCAAAAGTAGGAACGGTTGTGCCTTTGTGTAGCTGTGTGTTAAAATTCTAAAACAGACAATCCAACCGAACAGCTTGTTCAATATTAACTTTCTATCATTAAATAAATTTAATAGTTTTTAACAACCATGAATTATTTACGATTCTATCACTAAACTAAATGTCTTTCGCTATGCATTTATAACTATAGACGAAACACGAACGAGCTTGCTGCTCAGATTTCTTCTGTGGTTCACTGTCTGAACTTTGTGAAAATCCAATAACCAGCTCAGCCATTTCTTCTTGTACAAACAATCTTATTTATGTCACTACTATTTTTTCAAATCACGATGACGAATTAGTTACTTATAAAAGATTTTCCAAAGAGTAAAACCGATAGTAGGTGAGATTCGAACCCAAAACTCTATTTATCAGCAGATTCTTATTCAGCAAGTTAAACTATAGTGACAGTCTTACAAGTTGTTGCTTCATTGATTGGTAAAGGTGTAATTTTTATAGGATTCTTGAGTCATGAAAAAATAAACCATAATTATTTTATTATCATTCAGTTTTGGGATTACTGAATGAAGACTTGAGTTAAATAAATGTTTAAAGGTAAGCAAATATATCCTGCTTTATCAGCTATTCAAGTGAGAATTGATCTACTCGGCAAAATAAAAACCTAGACTCGAATCCTACATGGTTTTACTTCTTCAGAGAATGCCCAACGTAACAGGTTAGTGCGCTACCTTGAAGCATAATAAGATACAGTGCCTTGCAAATGTATTCACCCCCTGCAAAGTTCCACATTCTGTTGCCGTCTAAGCTTGAAATAATGAAACTTTCAATTGGGATTTTATATTTAGAATCTATGCAATCTAGTCCATACTGAGAAAGCTAAAAAACGCTGATATTATGTAAGCAAGTTAGATTTTCAAATTCAAATAGAATATTCTCAATTGCATAAGTATTCAACCCCTTTGATACGAAAACCCTAAATCAGTTCAGGTGCAACAGATTAGTTTGAAATGTCACAAAATTAGCGTAATGGTCTCTGTTTGTGTGTCATCAAAGTGGTTTACTTGACTTCAGAGTAAATGCATCTCTTCAAGCCATAACTCACATAGTGATACGACAAACCAACTATGAAGACCAAGGAGCTTCCCAAACAAGTCAGTGGTAGAGAAGCACAGTACCTGATGATGACAAAACCTTGTCGAAGCGTTGTACATTTGCTGTTATGTTAAACTTATATTAAAGTTTTTCTTCATTACCCATTCAAGCCGTCTCTAAACATTATTAGTCTCAAAGTGGGTTCCTCATCATCGAATTTGAATGATAGGTTGATTTTTAGTTTCGATCTAAGTACATAATTTACTCTGATCTGAAGTTATTCTTATTTACCATTTTTTCGAAGCAGTGCCAAAACAACTCAATGAAAATAGCCTTTCTAGTAGACCAAACAACATCAGGCTTGTCAGCCAGTTCTGGAGCACGTACTAACAAGTTTTAAACAAATAAAACTGACGTTACAATAACACGACATTCTACTCTGTAAAAGTGAAATTGAAGAGTTTCTAAACGGAATAAAATAAATTAATCACAACCGTATTTTTTAAAAACAGACTATTCATAAAGGTTCAGATTATGTACGAAAGTATATCATTTAATTAACCGTTACTCACCAAAATAACTAACAAACAAACCACCTAAGATGGCCCCACATCCTCGACCAAGTCCATGATGTAAACCTTGAAGAACACCTTGAGCTGAAGCACGAAGATTAGATGGCGTTGCTTGGGTGATATATGAGCAGCAGGCTGCCCAAACAGCAGCGTGGGTTATTCCTGAAAATATATAATTAACAGAACTGCAAAAATTTTCAAGTTGTTCATGCATCTTGCTTATGCAATATCTGCAACGTCAAAAAGTTTTTCATGCATTTCCATGGCTTCTTTAAAGTATTTATATATTTATCAGAATAAGTTGTTCATAGAATATCATTCAGGTATGCATAATATTGAAGTTAAGCTTCTAGTGAAATAATCTGGTAAGAACTTGAAACTGGGCCATTACCAAGGTATGTTCATTCAAAGAAAGATAAATCTGATAATAATAGTTTAAAGGAAGACCAAAGAAGTTTTCTTTTCTTCAACACAGCATCATTACGTTAAATCACAGTTTCTCGAAATATGACAACGTGATTTCCTGACCAAGATATATGTCAGCTGAGGCTTAACTTGATAATTGTTAAGCTAGAAAAAGTAATATTTCAATGTCATTGTGGATATAAAGGCTCAATAATTTTCGAATTCATATAGCTCCCTTTTTAGGCCTAACACTACCCTTTAGTAATGTCAACAGTTTAAGAGCTGCAAAACAGATAATAAGCACGATTACTAATGACTGCTTGATAAATCAACATATTAACATTAAGGATATTATCAACTCAGCATTAAATAATTTTCATATATTATTATACGGGTATTAATTTGCATTCCTCCGATATTTAAACTCTAAGACTATATCAATATTCATAATACAAATAGTAGGCTTATTTTTTATCACCATATTTAATGTTTCAACACATCTTGAGGCATCTTCACTTAGAAAGCTCCGCAACCTTTTCAGCACTAAAGAATCCAAAACTTATTCTTAACTAAACCTATCTCTTTTTATCATTACCGTTTCCTGTCTAAACATCATTCTTATCTGTAAAACACATTTAAAGATAAATTCGGGAACCGGCTAAGAAATTCGTTCGATTATTCTTAGTACATGTTTTAAAGCAGCAATAGCGAACTCACAGGAGTACCAATTTAACCTTTAACCTTTTCTATAATGTCCAAGAAGTGTTCTTCTAGATATTGGATTGAATTATTGTATTTTGATTGTTTGAATTCTAAGTTCCATATTTTTTGTTTACATAGTTTGAGTTTTTAGAAATGCATAAATGCGTTTATTATATAACACTTCCCACAAAAAAAAAAATTGCCAACGCCAGTACCTCTCAACGTTTGTATATTGGAATGTCCAGAAACTATTGGGGAAATATAGTTATTTACTTGATCTCAGTTACAAGTACGTATATATTACTGTAAAGCTCAGAAAACTGTATCTTATTGGAATTCGGTATATATCCAACTTGTTCATCGTATTTAGAAAAATACAGTGAATTGAGTTGAAATATGTGTGTTCATTCTTTATCTACACTAGTTATGTGTAAAGCAACCGTTCACTTCAATAGAATTTTTGAGACCCAATTCGAATAAAGGATTTTTTATCGCGAACTCGCTCACAATGAAAAGAATTATCCATGTAAGAGTCTTGCATACAGATTATCGTTTGCCACAATCAACTATAAGTATAGTTTTCCTTTCATGCAAGCGAAGCTGAAATGATGAAGGTCCTTATCAGAATTTCATTAAATGGTAGTCCTACGTCTTCGATTAATTCTGCTTGCATGCACCAACGTTAAAACATCCGTTCGTCTTCAACACAAAAGAACGAAACCCACTACTATATAGTGTATGAACCACTACTGTTTCTAGCCTTTCCTTCTGGTGCCATTACCAAGAGTATAGTGACTGGTATGAAAGATATAAATATGATTCATTATTTTTTTTCTGAGAAAACACTTCAATTCACCAACTGGAAGATTGTTTAAGGCCGATTTGATTAATTAAGATATAGTTTCTTGTGTTAACTACATAATCAAAGCTTACGGTATCAGTGTTGAAATTCGGATATTAATTTAATTTTTTAATTGATTATAAATACTTCCCAACGATAGAAGACAGTTTGTTTGTTTGTTTGTTTTGGAATTTCGAAGCTACACG